GATTCCTCTATACCAAAAACAACAGCACTGAAAAGGACATTAGGAAAGCAATACCATTTACAATAGCCGCCCAAAGGAAGAAGTATCTAGGAATAAATGTAACCAGAGAAACAAAGGACCTATGCAAAAAAATCAAAAGAGACCTATGAAAATGGAAGAATGTACCATGCTCCTGGATAGGAAAACTTAACATTGTGAAAATGTCAATACTGTCCAAAGCAATTTACACATATCATGCAATCTCAATCCAGATCCCAATGACATTCTTCAAAGAGATGGAAAAAACAATTACAAACTTTATATGGAAAAGAAAGAGACCCAGGATGAGCAAAGCACTGCTTAAAAAGAAGAATAAGGTTGGAAACCTCTCACTCCCAGACTTCAAAATTTATTACACATCTACAGTGCAAAGTATCTAAATATATTGCATGGGGAGGTGATAGTCTTTTCAACAGATGGAACTGGAAAGCGATAGGTCAAAGATTGAAACAAGACCTTTACCTCATGCCTTATACAAAAACCAACTCAGCATGGATTAAAGACCTAAATGTGAATCCCAAAATTATGAAGGCCATCAATGAAAAAATAGGGACAAATGTGAGGGCTTTAATTCAGGGAATACACAGACTACCAAACATTTTGAAAACTGCACAAACAAAAGTAGACAAAATAGATGATTGGGACATACTAAAAATAAAAATAAAACCTTATGTGCATCAAAAAACTTCACCAAAAGAGTAAAAAGGGAACCTACAGAATGTGAAAAAATCTTTTGCAACAACACATCAGACAAGGGACTCATTTCTAAAATATATAGGAAGCTACAACACTGCTACAAGAAAAAAACAAGTAATTCAATTGAAAAATGGGCACTGGACATGAACAAACACTTCACCAAGGACGAGATCTGGACAGCTAACAAAAGAAGAAATGTTTGCAATCACTAGCCAGTGTTGTTAAGTGTCATCAAGTTGGTTCCAACCCATAGCGACCCTGTATAGGGTTTCCGAAGGAGCTCTGGTAGCGTAGTGGTTACAAATTGGGCTGTGAACCGCAAGGTCAGCAGTTCGAAACTACCAGCAGTTCCATGGGAGAAAGATGAGGCTTTCTGCTCTTGTAAAGATTTACAGCCTCGTACACCCTGTGCAGTGTCGCCATGAGTCGGAACCAACTCCATGGCACTTAACAACAACAAATAGGGTTTCCGAGGAGCAGCCATTAGAGAGATGCAAATCAAAACAACAATGAGATATAATTTCACACCAGCAATAATAGCAAAGATCAAACAAGTAGAGGACAATAAATGCTGGTGAGGATGTGGAGAGACTGGGATACTTCTGCATTGCTGGTGGGATTGCAAAATGGTCCAACCTCTCTGGATATGGTGCTTCCTCAGAAGGTTGGAAATAGAAATACCTTATGATCCAGCAATTCCTCTACTTGGTATTTATCCACAAGAAATATGAGCCATAATACGAGTCAATATATGCACACCAATGTTCACAGAAGCACTATTTACAATAGCAAAAAGATGGAGACACCGTAAGTGCCCATCAACGCAAGAATGGATAAACTGTGGTACATACACACAATGGAATATTATCTTACCTTGAAGAACAGCAAGGAAGCTGTAAGCTATCATAGCATGGATGAACCTTGAGGACATTATCTTGAGTGAAATTAGTCAGTCACAAAAGGAGAAATACTGCATAGGATCACTACCATAAAAGTCTAAGAAATAGAACCCATACTAAAGAGGGGGGGATTCTTTGCTGGCTACTGGGATGTGAGGGTTGGGGGAGGTGAGAGAGGGGAAGGTGGGGCACAGTATAGGGAATAGACACAGGATCGTTTGGGTGCTGGGGAGGGGACAATACACAAGAAGGGAGGGGAATGGAAGAACAAGGTGGATGGGAAAACAATTAGGTTTGCATGGGCTAAGTGGTGCAGAAGTAAATAATGATGCATGAGCAACTTTGGAACAACAGGGCGCTGGGATACAGAGATTGAGACGTGGTTGGAATGGGCAAAAGTGGGGAAGTAATGTTAAGATGAAAGAAAAAAAATTTTTTTTTGCAGCCTCGAAAACCCTATAGGGCTGCTGTGATTCAGAACTAACTCCTAGACACATAATTACCACCATGGTGTGGCACTGGGATGAGCACTGGTCTGCTAATAGCAAGGTCAGATGTTCAAACTCACCAGTCGTTTCTTGGAAGCCCTACACAGGATAGCTGTAAGTTGAAACTGATTCGATGGCACTTAACAGCAACAACTGTGTATTCAAAGGATCCCTGGTGGCTCTGTGAGTTAGGCATTGGACTGCTAACCACAAGGTCTGTGGTTCAAAGCCACCAGCCACACCTTGATATGAGGCTTTCTCAGAAACTATAGAGGATCACTATGAATCAGAATCGACTTGATGGCAGTGGGTTTTTTGGTTTTACCATGTACAGTGGAGTCCCTGGGTTGTGCAAATGGTTAAACTTTCAATAATTAACCAAGTTTAACCCACCAAGAGTCACTTTGGACGACAAACCTGCAGAACTGCTTCCCAATGGTCACAGCCTTGTAACGCCTATGGAGCATTCTGCTCTGTAGCACACGGAGTTGTTTTAAGTCAGAACTGACTTGATGGTGCCTGGTTGGTACTTGCAGAATGTTTGGAATTAGGACCTCTTTGATCTAAGAGAGTCCCTGTTAGGAAAGGCATTGTGTTTCTAGGACTGGTCTGGAGACCTCTATCCTGGGCTAGCTCTCAGTGTGCTCCACATGGACACTAATATTTTAGGCCAGCATTGGTTGTCCGCTGGTCCCTGCTCCCCATGGTTGCTGGGTTATTTTACCCCTGCATTTGGGTAGTTGTCTTCCTGGACAGCAGTTTCCCAACTTCCCTCCCGTGGCAGAGAGCACTTTAGTCCTTCTCTCTGTCAAAGGTAGCTGGGAAAGCATAGCCCTCCAGGCTCCTACCTAATTAACAGTTACTGTTCCAGAGGCACCATCACTGGCTCTGGCTGCAAGGCTTGTGTCTCTCTGGCCAACTTTGCTTGAAGGGGAAGCCAGACATAAGCATACAAGCCCAATGCCATGTGCCTGGGCCTAACACCAGCATTCAGCTCAGTATGCCTACATTTCTAGCACATGCTGACCTGTAAACCTACTGTGTGCCTGGTGTAGTAGGATAGCTCCCAGGAGGATGCTAAGTACCCAGTTGTGGCATCTGCTTTCTATCTGTGACAGTGTCTGTCTCACTCTCTTCTAGAACATGGCATTGTGCCAGTTACCAGTGATTGCCAATACCTCTGCCCTGCAAAGGTGGTCTCTCGCCTGGTCAAGTGGGTGACAATGGCCCATGAAGATTACATGGTAGGTGGAGGGCTGACAAGTCAGCCTTGCTGTCCTGGGGACTCTAAGCCCTTGTCACCTCTCAGCTCTGGCCCCTTTGCCTGAAGGGCAGAGCATTTGACCAGTTGAGCCAGCAATGCACTCTTCCCTGGTGACTCTTCTAGGAACTGCATTTCACCAAAGACATTGTGGAGGCGGGCCTTGCTGAGGACACCAATCTCTACTACATGGCCCTCATTGAGAGGGGCACAGGTAACTGCTCAGCTGCTCATGGTGGTCCTAGGCATGGGGAGCTGACAAAAACAATTGCTGGAGCCTTGTCCAGCTTACCAAAGATCCTGGAATCCTGTGGGGTCTCTTAATAAGTAATAATGGTTGTGGTAGCTGCGATTCAACAGGAACACATTCTCTGACACAGGCACATGCAGGCTTTATCTGATGAATGGCAACATCATTCTCATTTTACAGGTGAGGAAATGGCAGGCTTAGCCACAAATCCAGCCAGGGGTGGGTTCAAACCTAGATTTGACCTCCGAGTTTCCCACAGTCTAGAATCAGACATCCTGTTCTCCCACCTCATCACTCTCAGTGGTCAGAAATGACGTCCTGTAAGGTGCAGGGTTACAGGGGTTGCTTCCTTGCACAGTTTCAGCATGTATCTGAGTGGTACCAGAAACTCTGATTCCTCACAGCTCTCTGGCCTTTGCCAGGCATTCTTGGAGCCTTCCAGATTGCTGCAGTGGGTTGTCATGCCTGTGGGCTGCCACAACCTCAGCAAGGCCTGGCACTGCCCATGGCTCTGACCTTGAGGCTCGGTGCCAGAGCGGCGGAGCCCAGAGGGTTGTTTGTAGGGCTAGAATGGCAAGAAAGAAGACTAAATTGGACTGTGATATTAGAGCCCCCCCTCTCTCTCGCCCACTTCCTTCCCATCTTTGTGTCTTTTATTTTTGTTAGCATTCTGAAGAAATGAAGATATCAGATACAGTTGAAGCCCTTTGATCCATTTCACTCCCTCTTTCATGATAGGTGACCACTATGTGACATTTGTGCATTTGCTCTCAGTCCCTAGTTCCCCTTATGAGAACACTAACACCATAGATCACTGTTTGGAAAGGGCACAAAGTATCCAGTCCAAGAAGTGTCCAATCCCCAAGGGCAGAAGCTCATGGAACAAACATTTCTGCTTCTTGGTTGGGTTGTTTAGGGCTGGGAAAGATGACCAGCATTCTAGAGGAATATACAGAACTAAGATAGTATTTCTTTACATGATCACATGAGGAAGTCTAGAAACACAAAGAATGAACTTCATTTGAATACATAAGCAATCCCAAATATACATAGTTCTTCAGTCATTTTCCAGAGGGTCAATTTGAAAACCTGATACCTGATAGATTAAAAACAAACAAACAAATGATTAAGAGAGGTCAAGCCAGAAATACCTGCAGACTGTTAAAACAGAAACAACCCAAGAGGTTTGAGAAAAAAAATCCCTTTTCAGGAAATGTGTCCTTCAGGGAAGAGTAAGCACAGCCTGCTCTCTCCTGTGTTCTTTAAATCACTAGTGGGGTACAGAGGGGAGATGTCATAGAGATCACTTTTTGTTCTTCATAAATAACCAAAGAGGAATGGCAGGCTTGGCCCATTGGAGGAGAAGAGATGAGTGACGCTGTTTTTGACCAAGGTTAAAGCTATCAACCGAAAGAACAGGACACACACATAAATACTGAATTTTGTGATTACAAACGCAGGCCCTGACATCAGGCCTGGTTGAACTCAGCACTGTTGCTTTGCAGAGGGGGAAGTTTCTTTCAGAGCCTCAATTTCTTTAACTGGATTAATAACAGTGGGACCCGTCTCAGGTTCATTGTCAGGTAAAGTAAAATGGGAATGAAGGCCTCAGCCCAGTGCTGAAAACACAGTAAATCCTTTCAATAAATGTTGTCATTTAAGAAAAAACAAACAAAACATTTTATATAACAAAATATCAAAAATAGGAATAAGATAGCACAAATGTATTTAACTGATGTGACAGTTGATATTCAACATGGTTGGAGAAAAAAAGAAGCCAGACAGCTTTCACTTTCTAGCAAATAAATATCATTTACAACCAATTTCAGTCAAAGTCTAAATAGAATTCTTGGGTGAGCCAGTAGTGGACGAGGACCCTCAAGTGCCAGTTCAGTAAATAGACCGAGATCCATGCGGGGGAACCAGAGTTGTAGAACCGCATATTCTGCCACCTGGCACTTTACATCATAGATTCTGGAACAAAACTAAATGTAATTAGTACCAGAATATGCTCTGTAGCAGCACTCTGGTTACTATGCGGCGATCTGAACTAGCCTCAGCATTCAGTAGGGAGGGTGCCTCGTCCAGCAAGCTGGGTCTGACTAAGTTTTCCTCCACTCCCTCCTTTCCCAGCCAAGCTCCAGGCTGCTGTGGTGCTGAACCCTGGCTACTCCTCCATCCCACCGGTTTTCCAGCTCTGTCTGAACTGGAAGGGGGAGAAGACCAACAACAACGATGACAACATTCGTGTAAGGCCCGGCTGGGAGTGGCAGAAAGAGCAGGAGGGGTGTCTTCAGGAACAGGGCAGAACCTGCCGCTGCTCAGGGCTTGGGCACTGGTTTCGTTCCCTGGACAGAGGCTCCTATAGAATTCTTAGTTCACTGGAGTCTATACAGTGTCATATGGAAAGAACTTACCTAGCATGGGGTCCACAGGTCTCCCTATTTCTAAAATCGGCATAAAAGATTAGTGGCTTGAGCTTCTGTGGAAACATGACTAAACTCAGAATTGCTACAGAAACACCAGCATGAGGTGACATCACAGCTGCTATCATTACACTTGGTGATTTGATTTGGTAATAATGGCCAGGAAGCCCATTTTTACCCCAGCATCTTCCAACTTGGATCTTATCTTAAGATTCCTGGTCTATACCACCATCTTGGTGTGAGAGACAGACAAAGTTAAAGGAAGGGGCCAGGATCAGGAAACCCCTGTTGTCTTTTTTTTTACTTTTTATTATGTGGGTGAGCGTTTATAGAAGAAATTCGTTTCCATTTGTTAACATACATTTTGTTGCGGTTCCCTCACTGTAGCAACATTTCTTCCCTGGGTGCTTAGTTTCCATTTGCCCTCCTTTCCTGCCCTTCCTGCCTCTGAACTTTGTTTTTGAGCAAATAACTGTGCCTTTGATCTCTTATGACTGATCGTTCTGAGGAGTTGGTTCCTCCCTGAAAATTGATCCCCTGGGGGTGGGTTCAGTTCCAGGCTTGAATTCAAGGGTGTCCAAGGGCCATAGTCTCGGGATAAATCCTACTGTTTTGACAGGCCTATTGGGTTTCATCTGATGTGGCCTGGCTTCTGTAGGGACACCAGATTTAGGTGTTATAATGGAGATCTCAGGCCCAACTGTGGACAAAGCCCAGCCAGTGTGATCAGCAGCCCCTGGCAGGCAGTCCTGAGTTGCTGGCTATTCCGCCCACACAGGCCATGGAGAGTGAAGTCAATGTGTGCTACAAGGAGCTGTGTGGTGCCCGGCCTGGCCACCAGCTCTTGACCAACCAGCTGCAGCGCCTGTGCGTGCTGCTCGACGTCTACCTGGAGACTGAGAGCCATGACGACAGTGTTGAGGGACCAAAGGAGTTTCCCCAGGAGAAGATGTGTCTGCGGCTTTTCAGGTGAGGAGGCAGGCTCTGATGGCCTCTGACTGCTGCTCACAGGTACTTGGGGGCAAGCACTCTCTCAGAGGTGAGCCACCAACTCACATTCCCAGAACTCTTGTCTGTTCACAGTAATCATAATCCTGCTGCCAGATTCCTTAAGAAGAGCTTGCTCCCTCCTTCCTGAAATTTCTCCCACAGCCCACTTCCTCCCCACCTGAGTCAGCTGTTGCTCACACTGGGCTGGGTGCAGGGCAGCCTGTCTGCTCTCCACCCCGTGAAGGTGGGGGCCTGCAAGTGAGCAGTGCTGGACGAACGAAGAAGAGGTGGCCACTCTTCACTTTCTGTAGTTTCTTTGGAACCCACTTAGGGTTTTGTTTGCTCTTTATTATCCAAATAAGTGTTCTCAGATTCTGTACATCCCCACAAACTCCCCAGGGTGTGGTCTCCTAGGGAGAATGGCAGGTGTAGGCATTGGGGTGGGGAGGGTGGGGGTTATAGAAGGGATCAGCTCAGAAGGGAGCTAGACACATGGCAGATCCCTGCTTTGCTTCTTACCAGCCATGTGACCTTAGAGAGCCATTTCACCTCAGCTCTACCTTTTTCTCCAAACTGAAGTGGAAGTAATACCTTCTAGTTCATAAGGAATTAGAATTCTTCTGAAGCTTCTAGGGTGGTTCCTAGCATCAAGCAGGTGCTCAGAAAATACAAGTAGGTCCTGTTTGGTGTGTGGACTGTCAGGGATTACGCCGTTCTAGCAGGTTTTCATTTCTTTTTGGTGTTGGGTCCTTCCTTTCTCTTTTATCCCCTAACTCATAGTCTTGATCTTAAAGAGTGTTTCAAAAACCTAGGAGTCCACTGCTCAGATTCCCCTCCATTCTGGGCATGGGGTTAGAGAGGAACAATGTTTGTGGAGGGGAAGGGTTCTGATCTGTCTCTAATCAGGGCAGCCCCTTCCCCCTTGTCCATCCAAAGGTGCCTTACCTTCTCCTAGCCTTCTCTCACCTCTGTCTGGCACCTCCACCTGTCCTAGTTCAGGGTTGGCAGATACTAAGCATCTGGGAGGCGGAGCTGTGGCTGGCTGCTGCTCTCTTCAAGTACTATCTCTAGTGGCTCTGGGTGAGACTTCAGCTCCTCCCACCCTCTTGGCCGCTGCAACTGTTTCCAGGTGGGAGTTCTCAGTTCTCTAATAGTTCCCAAAGGCCTCATTCCCGGACGAGCTATGTATGTTGCCCAGTGAAGGTGTGCCTTTGGCAGCTCTGCCCAGTATCTCCATGGCTGGCAAGGTATAAGACTCAGGACTGGAATCGAGCTGACCCCTGGGATAAGGCTGGGAGTGAGAGTGCAGCAAAGCCGGCCTGGGCACTGCTGGGCTCAGGGTTCACCTGAACTTATCCAGATGGCTCTGCACCTTTCTGGTGTTGGGAGGCATGACACCCTGGTTGTGAGAAAGGGCTTTGGGACCAGAGAGACCTGGGTTCAGATTCCAGCTGTGAGCAGCTGAGTTCAGGTTCTTCATCTGATCATGTGACATGCCAAGCACAATGCTAGTGTGAAGTAAGTCCTTAACTGCTGGTGCTGGAGTAACAACTTCCATTCTCCCCTTTTTACACTCCTACCACACACATACATTCATACCTTATATGAGATAGCATGCATACATGCATATGCATAAATGCACACTTGCACTATACACTATATACAAATATAGAATCAGCACTGGACTGGAAACCACAAGGGCAGCAATTCAAACCAACCTGCTGCTCCTCGGAAACCCTATACAGGGTCGCTATGAGCCGGAACATATATACATACATAAACACAGACACACATTCATACCATTATATACATACACACACACACTCACTTGAACCCAGGATGTTACCTCTGGTTGTTGTGGACTATCAACCATCACAAGCAGACAAAAACAAGGGGAAGGGATCCTTTGTAACTGGACACGGATTCATTGTAGAGTGGTAAGAAGAGAGCACTTGTGGAGTTCTGCTCTAGGCCCAGAAGTACCAGCTCATCTTTGCCATGGGGAGATTGTGGACACAGGTCATGTCCTACCCCCTTAACCAGCCTGTAGCTGACAGGCTTTGGCATTAGAACTGGTTTGGATTTTTGGCTCTGTCACTTCCTAGCTGCATAATGTTTGACAGACAAGTGTACCTCCCTGAGCCTGTTTGCTCACATGAAGGATATGTAAATTGGCACAGCTAGCCTCTAGGAAGTAGGAAGGAGCCAGCCCTCAGCTCCTGGTAGACACTTATGGCAGATTTGTTCACTCCCAGACTCTGCCTCCATGAGAATCATATTCCACAGGAGGATTTCAAAAATGTCTTCTTTTCTTATTACAAAAAATAAAATATGCTTATTGTTGAACATTTAAATAACAATGGATTACAAAAAGTGAGGATCCCCTACCCGTCATCTCCAGAAATGACCACTATCCACAGGGCCCTTCCAAATGTGTGTTAATGCATTTATAAGCATAGCAATACAGTTTTGCAAAAATGATATCACATCTGACCTGTTCTGCAGCCAACTTTTCTTAACAATGTTTTGTATCATGTAACTCTATCAGTTTTTTGTTTTTTAACAACTCTTAAAAATATTCTCTCAGGTGGATGAATCATGAGTTGTTTTATCAGCTAAGAGGGCTAGCTGTTAACTGCTTTCCTTTCTTTTGTTTCTCTAGGGGTCCCAGTAGAGTGAAGCCGTTTAAATATAACCATCCTCAAGGATTCTTCAGCCATCGCTGACTGCTGCTTGATAGGTCATGGTTCCCTCAAGGCTTCACCCTGATGCTGGCAACTCAGCTCCTGACAGTCTCCAAAGCCTATTAAAGTGTCACCTGACCAAATGGCTTTTGTCTGGCTTCTCCTTGAAGGGAGGACAGGTGGGAGCCAGGGCACAATGTTGAATGGGCATTTGTGGAGGGCTGAGTGCACAGAGACGCTGACTCTGCAATGACCTCTTGTCCACGCACCGTGTTTGTTTCTGCTCTGAGGACATCATTACTTGAGTATTTAGTACATTCATCTCTGCTGTTACAAGGTTTCAGGAAAAGTCAAGTCAGCCTTGCTCAAAAATACCATTTATTCAGTTAATCCTTGTCACCTTTCCCTCCTCATCTCAGTTGCTTAAACATTAGAGAAAATAAGTGACACATTTTGCCATGTTGACACAGTCACCTCCTTGGTGATCCTCATGCAAAATTCGAACAAGATGAAGGGTGACCTTGTTTGAGATCCTGGATAGAGTGGTCATGGGCAGTTTTGTTAGAAAAGTTCAACTCTGTCCTTACTCTATTTCTTGTTCATTTTGAGAAAATATGAGAGTAAGTTGAAAAGTATTGCTACTAGGGTTCTAGTTTAAATGTAATGGTGATAGTGTGCCATGGAGTCGGTTCTAACTCATAGGGACCCTGCATAGGGTTTCCGAGGTTGTAAATCTTTATGGGAGCAGAAAGCCTCATTGTTCTCCTGCGTAATGGCTGGTAGTTTCGAACTGCTGACCTTAAGGTTAACAGCCTGACTCGTAACCACTATGGCACTAATAACAGGATAATTTTAATAGATTCACTTGAAGGGCACAAGTTTGAAAGAAAAATTGAAAACTGTATTGGTGAGAAAAAGGCCAGGAAAGTTATGTTGTTGTTAAGTGCCGTTGAGTTGGGTTCCAACCCACAGTGGCATTGTATAGGGTTTCCAAGGAGCAGCTGGTGAACTTGAATTACAGGCCTCCCAGTTCAAAGAGGACTTTGCATTCAAGCTCATTAACCAACAGCACCACACCAGGACTCCAGGAAAGTTATACCAAGGAATTTTTTCCCATAATGACAATGCAAGGGCTGTCCTATGAGAATTCAATTGGGAAATATATTCTTCAGCTTTAATCTTGTCCTTTCAAACTTTTTTTTGTCCACAAAACTCAAAAGAACATAAAAGGAAGATCATTTGAGTTCCTCAAGGATGCCAAAACTGCTGTTTTTATATGGTCTAAATTGAAGGGTACAGAATTCTTCAGGGAAAGGTTGTTGTTAGGTGCCATCGAGTCAGTTCTAACTCATAGCAACCTTATGCACAACTGTATGAAACACAACCCGGTCCTATGTCATCCTTATAGTTGTTACATTTGAGCCCATTGCTGCTGCCACTGTGCCAATCCATCTCGTTGGAGATATTCCTCTTTTTCTCTCGACTCTGCATTTTACCAAGCCTGATGTCCTTCCCCAGGGACTGTTCTCGCCTAATAATGTACAAAGTATTAGAGATCAAGTCCCACCATCCTAGCTTTTAAGGAGCATTCTGTGTCTGCTTATTCCAACACAGAAATGTTTGTTCTTCTGGCAGTCCATGATGCTTTTAATATTATTTTTCAACCCCATAACTCAAATGCATCAATTCTTCTAAGATCTTTCTCATTGTACAACTTTCACATGTATATGAGGTGAATGAAAATACAATGGCTTGAGTCAGGCACACCTTAGTCCTCAAACTGACATCTTTGCTCTTGAGCAGGTCTTGTGCAGCAGATTTTCCTAATGCAATACATCACTTGATGTCTTGATTGCTGCTTTCATGAGAGTTGATTGTTGATCTAAGCAAAATGATGTCTTTGACAACTTCATTCTTTTCTCCATTTATTGTGATGTTATTAGTCCAGTGGTGAGTATTTTTGTCTTCTTTACATTGAGGTGCAATCTTTACTGATAGCTGTGGTCTTTGATCTTCGGAAGTAACTATTTTAAGTTCTCTTTGTTATTGTTAGGTGCCATTGAGTTGGTACTGACTCATAGCGACCTTATGCACAGCAGAACAAAACACTGCCCAATCCTGGGCCAACCTCACTATTGTTGCCATGCACAAGCCCACTGATACTGCAACTTTGCCAATCCATCTCACTGAGGGTCTTCCTCTGTTTCTCTGATCCCTCTACCTTACCAAACATATCATTCTCCAGCCACTGGTCCCTCCTGACAGTATGTCAGGAGAGTATGAAAGTATGACAGACGAAGTTTGGCCATCCTGGCCTCCAAGGAGCACTCTGGCTGCACTTCTTCCAACACAGATTTGTTGGTTCTATAAACAGCCCTTGGCACTTTCAATATTTTCCTCCAGCACCATAACTCAAAAGCATCAATTCTTCTACGGTCTTCCTTATTCACTGTCCAGCTTTCGCCTGCATATGAGGTTATTAAAAATACCATAGCTTCAGTCAGGTGCACCTTAGTCCGCAAGCTGACATCTTTGCACTTCAACACTTTAAAAAGGTCTTGTGCAACAGATTTGCCTAATGCAATACATCCTTTGATTTCTTGACTGCTGCTTCCATGAGTGTTGATAGTTGATCCAAGAAGAATGCAGTCCTTGACAGCTTCAATCTTTTCTCCATTGATAAGAATGTTGTTTATTGGTCCAGTGGTTGGGATTTTTGTTTTCTTGACATTGAGACGTAATCCATACGGAAGGCTGTGCTCTTTGATCTTCATCAGTAAATATTTTAAGTCCTCTTCACTTTCAGTAAGCAAGGTTGTATCATCTGCATATTGCAGGTATTAATGAGTCTTCCTCCAATCCAGATGAAGACAGACTAGGAAGGAGTGACAAATTACTTCCGAATATTTAGCTGGACAGTGAATAAGGAAGACTATAGAAGAATTGATGCTTTTGAATTATGGTGTTAGAGGAGAATATGAAAAGTGCCAGGAGCTACCAAAAGAACCAATAGATTCATTTTGGAAGAAGTGCAGAGTGCTCCTTAGAGGCCAAGATGGCCAAACTTCGTCTCTCATACTTTGGACATATTGTCAGGAGGGAACAGTCGCTGGAGAAGGATA